TCCTATAGGGAGGATGTTGTGATCCACAAGGATGTTGCCAAGGTTGGAGGATTTCAGCCATAGGGAGAGGCTGAATATGGTGGGGCTACAGAGGGTTCTGCTATAACGCGATAGTGGAGTTTCGGAGGCTGAGGAGTCACCTTATAGAGATCTATGAAATCATGAGGGGCATGGATAGGGTAAATAGACAAGGTCTTTTCCCCATTGTGGGAGAATCCAAAACCAGAGGGCATAAGTTTAAGCTGAGAAGAGAATGATATAAAAGGGACCTAAGGAGCAACATTTTCACACAGAGGGTGGTGCATGTATGGAACGAGCTGCCGGAGGAAGTGATGGAAGCTGGTACGATTACTACATTTAAAAGCCATCTGGATGGGTATATGAATAAGAAGGGTTTAGAGGGATATGGGCCAAATACTGGCAAATGGGACTGGATTTGTATAGGATATCTGGTCAGCATGGACAAGTTGGACCAAAGGGTCTGTTTCCATGTTGTATATGTCTATGACTCTATGACTTAACGGGATTTGAATAGCTATTCCAGAGTATTAGCCTGGGTTTTTGGATTGCTTGTCCAGTGACATTACTAGTAGACCACCCAGACCCTGGACAATAAATAAAAGAACTGTGGAAGAAAGTTGAGGCCTTTGAAATGTGGACACCAAACCATGTTTAAAATTCCCTATATAAATCCTAAGACAAATGAAGTTCTTGAAATTGCAAGAGCTAAACAGAACTCCATAAAAGAAAATGCCCATATCTCTGCCATTTTATCAAAGCCAAAAAACTACCACGATCTCTTTAAGAGGGCAAAGTACAGGGCAGTAAAAAGAGTTGACCTAGGTATAGTTGGAAGCCAAATGTCAGAAAATGGCTGAAGTGGATAAGTGAGGGTGGCACAAGACAGAGGAGTGTTACATATGATCTCTTGTTAGGAGTAGCAACAGGACCAAGAATTTTATAAAATATGAACTTCCTTTGAACCATCACTATCACTTTCAACCCTTTGGTGTCACCTGCCATTTATACCGACATGGATTGAGATTGTATACGTGGGTTATTTATAAATGCCTGGAACAAGGGTTCTAACACATACCCTTTGATCATGTGATCTTGGCTTGTTACAAATCAGTGTTGATGTTACATATACTACAGAGTATAGTCAACGATTAGTCATTTTCTTCGGTGACCAGAGTGTGGCTGAAACTGTTTTAACAGGCTCGGAACTACTTGTACTCTGGAATTTTAGTCATAATTCTATGTGATACCATTTAGTAACACCAGATGGCAGAAAAGGCAAGTTTCATCATTTAACATAGAAGATAGGAGCAGGAGGAGGCCACTCGGCCCTTCTAGCCTGCTCCACAATTCTTTACGATCATGGTTGATCATCCAACTCAATAGCCTAATCCTGCTTTCTCCCCATAACCTTTAATCTCATTCGCCCCAACAGCTACATTTGGTCGCCTCTTGAATACATGCAAAGTTTTGTCATCAACTACATCCTGTAATGAATTCCACAGGATCACCACTCCTTGGGTGAAGAAATGTCTCCCCATCTCCGTCCTAAATTGTCTACCCTGAATCCTCATTCTGTGACCCCTGGTTCTGGACACACCCACCGTCGGGAACATCCTCCATGCATCTACCCCGTCCAGTCCTGTTAGAATGTTATAAGTCTCTATGAGATCCCCTCATTCATCTGAACTCTAGCAAAAACAATCCCAACCTAGTCAATCTCTCCTCGTACATCAGACCTGCCATCCCCAGAATCAGCTTGGTAAACCTTCACTGCACTCCCTCGAGTGCAAGAGCATCCTTCCTCAGAAAAAGATACCAAAATTGTACACAATATTCCAGGTGTGGTCTCACCGAGGAACAGAGGATTGATCAACGACAGGTCTTTTGGAATTCCAATTTTTATGAATGTAAAAACAATAAAACTTATTTTTTTCAAAATACTAACACACAGATTTGTACATTATGTTTATTGATGATGTCCAGCAAGCCATCAATGCTGAAAATTGGCCTTTCTTGAGGTTTTGGCATGCGTGCATTAACTTAACCATGAGGAAATATAAAATCTGCTAAAGACCCTTTTAAATAGAATAGTTGGAGTACACTGAACGATAACTGACATAGCTCCTGTTTGTGTGTGTTTTATTTTATACATTAAGTGAGCTACAAATATACTAATACAATTATTGAAATTGGAAACTGAAGTGAGGGAATCTGATACAACAAGGTGCAGGGCTGGATGAACACAGCAGGCCAAGCAGCATCATAGGAGCAGAAAGGCTCACGTTTCGGGCCTAGACCCTTCATCAGAAAAGTGGGAGGGGAAGGGGGTTCTGAAATAAATAGGGAGAGAGGGGGAGGCGGATAGAAAATGGATAGAGGAGAGGATAGGTGGAGAGGAAACAAACAGGTCGAAGAGGCGGGGATGGGGCCAGTAAAGGTGAGTGTAGATGGGGAGTTAGGGAGGGGATAGGTCAGTCCAGGGAGGACGGACAGGTCAAGGGGGCGGGATGAGGTTAGTCGGTAGGAGATGGGGGTGTGGCTTGAGGTGGGAGGAGGGGATAGGTGGGAGGAAGAACAGGTTAGGGAGGCAGGGACGAGCTGGACTGGTTTTGGGATGCGTTAGTGGGAGGGGAGATTTTGAAGCTTGTGAAATCCACATTGATACCATTGGGCTGCAGGGTTCCCAAGCGGAATATGAGTTGCTGTTCCTGCAACCTTCGGGTGGCATCGTTGTGGCACTGCAGGAGGCCCAGGATGGACATGTCGTCTGAGGAATGGGAGGGGGAGTTGAAATGGTTCGCGACTGGGAGGTGCAGTTGTTTATTGCGAACCGAGTGTAGGTGTTCTGCAAAGCGGTCCCCGAGCCTCCGCTTGGCTTCCCCGATGTAGAGGCAGCCACACCGGGTACAGCGGATGCAGTATACCACATTGGCAGATGTGCAGGTGAACATCTGCTTGATGTGGAAAATCCTCTTGGGGCCTGGGATGGGGGTGAGGGAGGAGGTATGGGGGCAGGTGTAGCACTTCCTGCGGCTGCAGGGAAATGTGCCGGGTGTGGTGGAGCTGGAGGGGAGTGTGGAGCGGACAAGGGAGTCACGGAGAGAGTGGTCCCTCCGGAAAGCAGATAAGGGTGGGGAGGGAAAGATGTCTTTGGTGGTGGGGTCGGATTGCAGATGGCGGAAGTGTCGGAGGATGATGCGTTGGATCTGGAGGTTGGTGGGGTGGTACGTGAGGACGAGGGGGATTCTTTTCTCCCCACCTACACTCACCTTTACTGGCCCCATCCCCGCCTCTTCGACCTGTTTGTTTCCTCTCCACCTATCCTCTCCTCTATCTATCTTCTATCCGCCTCCCCATCTCTCCCTATTTATTTCAGAACCCCCTTCCCCTCCCCCTTTTCTGATGAAGGGTCTAGGCCCGAAACGTCAGCCTTTCTGCTCCTATGATGCTGCTTGGCCTGCTGTGTTCATCCAGCCCTGCACCTTGTTGTCTCAGATTCTCCAGCATCTGCAGTTCCTACTATCTCTGAGGGAATCTGATGTATAGATAAATGCTTCATCTGCATAGGACAGATATTGTGCTTTGTCCTTTCCATTGCCTAACAACATAGAAAGGTCATCAAAGCTCTTTAGATGCATAGATAGGATGCATTCCATGGAAGAACCTTCTACTTGAGTGGTGCCTTTCACGTCTAGAATATTTCAAAGTCTTCGCAGCTAACAATTTTTAAAAAACATTTGCTTTTACTGCCATGAAGCAAACATGACAACTGAGATATGCCAAATAAATCTTGACAAGAGCAATATGATGAATTACCCTTTTTCTCTCTGAAATGTGGGATTCTCTTCCTCTAAAAGCAGTGGAGGTTGGATCATTGAACTTATTCAAGGCTGAATTAGATAGAACTTCTGGTAGACAAGGAAATCAAGGGTTATGAGAGGCAGACAGTAAAGTGGAGTTGAGACCACAAACAGATCAACGATGAAAGAATAGTTTTGAATGACTAGATGATGTTTTGTTTTTTTTTGGGAGTGCTGATTGAAGAACAGACATTGGACATTTGTATAGTCATTATGAGAATTCCCTGACCTTTTTTTGAAAAAGTATCAATGGATCCTTTATACTCACTTCAAAAGACAAATGGGATCTCGGTTTAATGTTTCATTTGAAAGAAAGCAATTAAGCTGGCCCTGAGTTGTCCACTGCCCTATCAATATGCTTTTCAATTCCAGGAATCAGAGCGTGATCTCATAACCTTCTGGCTGAAACAAGAGAATGCTTCCACTTACCAGGATACTATGGTTGTTTACATCAGAAGAAAGGTATTCTTATTGTTATATTTAAAATCTTCAGCTGGAATAGATAGAATGGTTCATGAAGTGATGTCCAAAGTTTTTTTTTAATCTCAGCAATAAAGTGATATAAAGGGTTTGTTTTTGGGAAGTACCTGAATGCTTGGAGATGGTTGTTTCTGGTATATCAATAAACACATGGAGATTTTCTTGGGAAAGAAAGAATTCTGAAACATCCATAAGACTTAAAGAAAACCAGAAACTCAGACAAATACAGTATCTGATCAGTCAGGCAAGTACATTCGAGGTCATATTTAGGTGCGGGATACAGAGGTGTACTGAACACAGGCAGTTCCTGGCTTACTCTTCGGACTTTCACTTTTACATTCGGAGCGCACTGATTTTCACGAGTTGCAGATCTGACTTATTAAAAGATGAAAAAGAAAATGCATTTACACACAACCTTTACCTAATCTTCTCCATATTCCTGTGAGAGTATTCAGAACTACGGGTGGCCTCTTGACTCTTTAGTGAGACAAATGTGGACTGGGAACTTTGAACTCCAGGAGTGACAATGAACCCCTCCCTCCCCCTCCGCCTCCGCCCGGTTTACTGCTTCTGTTGTTGTTGCCTCCGCCCCCTCCCCTCCCTTAGTAACGGAAGTGGGAGGTAGAGGAACTTCCGGTTGGCCCTCAGTTGGGTGGCGGTCCAACCTTGTTGTGAGCTGGGCAGTTCAGAGCATCCCGTTGCGGACAGGGAGGGGGTGTGGGGGTGAGGGGGTGAGAGAGGGCTTACCGGGAACCGGGGAGGAGACAGAGGAAGGGGTGAGGGGGTGTTTGCACAGCCTCGGACAGCTGCGGGTGTTTGGTGGGGGGAAGAGGGAAAGCCCGGGTGTCCGCACACGGACGGCCCCAGGATGTGCCCAGCGGCCTGGACACACTCGCTGTAAAAATCCACTCTTCAAGGCGAAACTTCCAAGCTAGCCGGCCCAGGAGAAACCATGAAGAAGCAGTTTAATCGGATGCGGCAGCTCGCCAGCCAGACTGTGGGAAGGTAAGTACCGTCACCGGGAGCTCCCCAGAGGAGGCAGATAGTTTGTTATTTATTTTTTGAGGGGGTGGTGTTAGAGCGATCAGGTCTGCAACTCATCGGAGAACTCGTGGGAGTCACATCTGCAACTTTTGATACTGCTCGTTCCATTGATTTCCACTTGTAAAACAAAAAAAAAGGCTCCTGGTAGAGTTGAACTCAGGCCGCTTGCACCAAGGTAGTTTCGGTGCATCGGTTTCAATCTTGTCTCAAGAGCTCAAAGTTCCCCTCCGGGCGGGGGCCAGCGTACGACCTCAGCACAATTTTCGGAGTTGTCAGTTTCTGTTTACTGCGTTAACGTTTTCTGTACATCGTGCTGTGGCTTTATGTAAAGCAGTGAGGCGATGGCCGATGAAGTGTTGAGTGATTATTACCATGTCGGTAGCTTTCATTGCAAATCAGACTATTTTAGTAAAGTAGGTGGTTTGCCGCTAGTGTAACTCGACCCTTACTTTGAGGTGATCGGTCTGCTCTTTAAAACTGTCACAACTGGCGTTACCGAGAGTACATCGGACGCTGCCTAAGCTCAAACTTTGATCAACGACGAGTTTGCAATATCGAAAAACAGTTTTGCAGAAAGTGGCGGAAGTGACCGCGGTACTGGATTTAAGTACATTAATTCACATGTTGCGGTGCACATTATGAGCGAGATGGTTGGATAAGTACTTTCGATCCTCGGATATTGAAATGACAGGACTTTGGAATTAAACGTGCATTACAGGGCGCCCATTACAACGCTGACTCAACCCCGAGTAGAAGAAGGGATCCACGATAGGACACTAAACCCTTTTAGCAAACAACCTCTCTCCGCTCCAGACTGCTCGTTTGTCTAATCTTGGTTTCCGATCCCTTGCAGCGACCCAGTCAGATCGGATGCTTCCCTGTTTGTCAAATTAGTATTCTGGGACATGTTTGCCTGACCACCATTTAGCTCCGTTTTCCCCCTCGTTTTGATTTGCCTTGTGATTTCAGATTTTTTTTGTGATCAGCAATTTCTCAACAGTGCCTATTTCATTGCCATTGGCGATGGAGTGTAGTACATTGCCACTTCTTTGGTATGCTACCTAACGTCTGTTACTTTGCAGTTTACAAAACGGAAGAATTAAAATTGAAGAGAAAGACAATGCAAATTTGTTTTTTTTATTGTAAATGGAAATTGCTAGAAATACACCATTTTTGATCAGTATTGTGAATATGTACCCTTAGTGTGTGTACTGGGAAATTAAATGCATCTTCCGGCTATAAATTGACTCTCGTCTCTCGTGTACGTTCATGCTCTTGGAAGGAGAAATAATCCAGTTGTGTGGGCGGTAATTGTTTAATCGGGCCTACATATAGTTAAGAAAAATCTGAAAAATTGAAGCTGACATCCAAATGTCGTAAGTGTCATAATAAACCTGAGATTATTTGATCTATTTTGATATGTTTTATTGAAATATTAAATTGCATTGTCGTTGAGAATTTGTTTGTAGTAGTAACTAGTTAGCATGAAATGCCTGTGGAGGTAACAAATCAATGAGAGCAGATCTGTTAACTGTAGCATGTGCTTTTATGCCTATTTTGCAATTTAAGTCTCTCAATTTCCCTCGGAGAATTTGTTTCAATTATAACTGTGGGTAGTGTGTTGGATGTGTTGGCTCCGTAACTTGAGACGAGGGCTCGTGCTGATCGTCATTATTTTGTTAGGAAGATTGTCATGATTAAAAACAACACAGTTATACACTTTAATGGTGGATTCTTCGTTAGGGGATGTGAAATGCACTAAATAGCAGGCTGTTGCAACCTTGATGTGATTGAGTATTTGTACTATAGATGGATGGACTAGTATTTCATCTTTGTGTCTTGAATTGATTAACCTTTTAAGGTCTGCCTTTCTGCAACATACCTGGCTGAGTATTGGTTGCAGTGAGACCAAAGCATCTACTTGAGGTGTCAGCAGGTTGGAAAATAGCAAACATGAAGAAACAATGAAGACAGAAAGCCAGAATATATATACCACTCAGGGAAAATGTTGGAAGCAGTTATTAAGAAGCTTATAGCGAGCGACTTAGAAACTCCCAATTCATTCTGGAAGAATCAGTATGATTTTGTGCAAAGGAAATCATGTTTGACTAATTTATTGGCATGCTTTAAGAAAGTAACAAGCAATGTACCAGGACTATAATGTAGATAAAGGAGAACCTGTGGATGTATAAGACTTAGATTTCCAGAAAGCATTTGAGAAGGTGGCACATCAGAGATTACTCTACACAGTAAGTGATCATGTTATAGGGGGCAACATGTTAGCATAGATGGAAGATTGGTTTGCCAAGAGGAAACATTAGGGATAGATGGGTAATTTTCAATATGGCAAGATATGGCAGGTGGACTGCCACAGGGAATGGTGCTGGGGCCTCAACCATTGAAAACTTATCTCTGATTTATGTGAAGGATCCAAATATACAGTAGCTAAACTTGCTGATGACACGAAGGCAGGAAGGTAAGCTGTGAGGAGGAAATAAGGAGCCTACAAAGAGATATATACAGGTTAAATGGGGGGGGCGGGGCGAGGCGATGACGGATGGGGTATAATTTAAGAAACTATGGACTTTTCCACTTTGCCAGAAAGAAGAGAACAGCAGCATATTATAGAGTCATAGAGCATGGAAACAGACCGTTCAATCCAACCAGTTCATGTCGACTATTGTCCCAAACTAAACTAGAACTCCCAACTGCCTGCATTGGCCCATATCCCTCCAAACATTTCTTATTCGTGTACTTATCTAAATGTTTTATAAATGTTGTAACAATATCTGCGTTGACTACTTCCTCTGGAAGTTCATTCCACACATGAACTGCACTCTGTTGTAAAATTATTTAAATGGAGATGTAGGGCATCTAACATTGTGTTCTCCCATTTAAGACTGAGATAAGGAGAAATCTTTTTCCCTGAAGGTCATGAATCTTTGGAATTCTCTTTTCTCTAGAGAGTAGTGGAAATAAGGTGTATGAATAGTTCCTAGACTAGGAAGGGAGACAAAGATTGTCGGAGGGTAGACAAGAATGTGGAAATTGTACCAACACTGATCGTATTGAAGGATGGTACAGAATTGAGAGGCAGAATGGCCTATTCCTACTTCTAAGCTGCATGCAATAGACAGAACTAAGAGACTTCTCACCTGATGATTCCGATGAAAGATCTCAGTCTAGCTCCATGCAGTTGTGAATGGTGATGAAATAATTAACCAGTGAAGGAAGCTCCACAAATATCTCCATTCTCAATGATGGAAGAGCCCAATACATCAGTGCAAAAGCTCAGGCTGATGTATTTGCTGCCATCTTCAGTCAGAACTGCTGAATGTGATTTCTGCTTCTTTCTCAGTTCCCCAGCAGCTTAGATGCCCGTCGTTAATTTCTTTCAACTCTCTCCATGGGATAACAAGGGACTGAAGGTGCTAGTTTCTACAAAGACTATGGGTCTTGACAACTTCCTAACAGTACTGCTGAAGTTTTGAGTACTAGGACTAGTCTCACCCCTAGTCAATTTGTTTGAGAACAACAATACTGGAATCAAGTGGCAGCTTTTCAATTTTGTGTGGCATTTACCCTCATGCTTCTCAGTCTTTGGCTGCCTAGTGCTGACTGGGGAAGGCAGGTCAGAGGACTTTGCCGTTGGACTGTTCCTAGTGCTGGCTAAGGTACCATTGATAGGTTCAGGTGGCAGATGTTAAGAAGCTAGTTTAATCTCACTGCCTGTCTCTGTTCTGTGGCTGTGTCTGTGTCCATGGAGAGAGAGCACACAATGTCTGCTGGCTTGAAGCTTTCCATGCTCTGGGGTCTGGTGTGCCATATCAATACTGGAAATCACATCTTTAAGATTTTATTGTAGTTAATAGTGCGTCTTTCACATGAGGACCTTAATTGGTTAATGATGCCAAAAGAATATAATACTGTCATTTACCTGACAATATGCAAAAATTACCCACTTGTGCCCTACCCTCAAGAGCAGGATAGTTCCAATCCAGCCATTTCTGCTCTTTCAGTCTACTCTCGATCATCAGCAAGATGATGGACGGTATTTTTGACAACGCTATCACGTAGCGCTTACTCAGATATAACCTGTTACTTGGCAGTTGGTTTAGGCTCTGTCTCAGTCACTCAACTCCTGACCTCTATACATCCTTGATCCAAATATGGATAAATGGCTGAACTCAAAAGGGGAGGCAAGAATCATTGTCCTTGATGTCAAGGCAGCATTTAACATAATGTGATATCAAAGAAATCTTTCTTAAAAAAAAAATGTTAAAATGAATGCGATTTGAGGAAACTCCTCTTTGGTTAGAGTCATACTTAGCACAAAGGGAAAGAGTTGTGGTTGTTGAGGATAATCGCCTCAGTTCCAGGACATTACAACAGGAATTCCTCTGCGTAGTGCTCTAGGCCCAAGCATCCTCTTCAATGATCTTTCCTCTGTTGCACCTTAACTGGGAAGAGTATGCTGATGATGTACCCTGCTGTCTCTCAGCCATTAGTGTGTAAAATATTAATTCGACCACAAGATGACCACTTTGCCTGCCTGACTGCTATACGGGACAAAAACAATTTGCACCAGTTTGTTATTAACAGAAAATGACTATTTATTGTAAATACACTTAATCCTTTCTTTTCTCTACCATTTGATAAAGTTACTAATTTGCCCTTGTGCAACTTAAACTGCAACCCTTTAAAATTCCAAATACACACACACACACCATTAAAACAGACAAGAGATTGTTGAACACACATCATGGGTAGAAGAATACAGTCTGGGGAAAAACAAGTCTGAGTATCAAAAACAACAAGGTGCAGGGCTGGATGAACACAGCAGGCCAAGCAGCATCATAGGAGCAGAGAGGCTGACGTTTCGGGCCTAGACCCTTCATCAGAAAAGGGGGAGGGGAAGGGGGTTTTGAAATAAATAGGGAGAGAGTGGGAGGCGGATAGAA